CACTCACACACACATACACACACACACACACACACACACACACATACACACACACACTCCAACATACACATACACACACATAAACACACACACACACACATACTCATACACTTACACATACACACACAAACACACACATATACACACAAGCACACACACACACACATACACATATGTACACATGTACATGCACATACACATAGACATACACATACCGCATACACACATACACACCTACACACATAAACACATACACATACACACGTGCAATTTCCCAGCTGCTTTCACGAGTAACATAAAGCATGGTCTATAACCATCAACTCATGCAATTACTTGTTTATACCATACTGGTGTCAGCTGACAAAATAGATCCGGACCAGCAAAGGTCAAATGAGCGTATACCAGCTGGTCAAAAAAGTTAGTTCAAATGAATGTAAAAAAAATAAATACTGGAAGGAATAATTATGTTGTTATGGCGTCGGTGGCCTAGAGGTTAGGCGACCGGACTCGTATTCGTGAGGTTCGAGCCGCGGGCCTGACATTGTGTCCTTGGGAAAGGCACTTTACACGGATTTTCCTCACTTCACCCAGGTTGAATTTGGGTTCCCGGCTATAGACAACTAAAGATCTTGTCAGTTGTCAGTATGTTAGTGTTTTAGCGCGTATAAATGGCTGCTTCTACTGTATGCTTCCTTGGAAGTTGAGTTTGTTTCAGAATGCTCTCAGATCTGCTGGGATAATAGTATAGATTGGGACGCGCATAGAGCTTGCTGTTAAGCGGGAATTTGCGCTATACAAATGCTATCAACTATTATTATTATTATTATTATTATTATTATTATTATTATTATTATTATTATTATGTATTGTCTTGAAGTCGCCACTCCCAGTGAAACTTTTACACGATTTAGAGCTAAAGCCGTACGAAACCCACGTACACCAACAACTCATTTTAGCAAACGCAAAATCCAGAATGGACATAACATTGTGTAACTGGATCCTCAACCAGATCATTTAGGATAAAATTTATCATCAACGGCTACGGTTCTCTGGCGAGGCCCATTTCTAGACCTACGGCTAAGGGAACAGATGCAAAAATATCAAGCTACGTTTGTCGGAGAATAGCAAAGCCTGACCAGTTTGTAAGAAAGGCCTGCAAGATTATAATATGCTTGTAGTGTAGGCAGCGATTGATTGTACAGACACACAAATAAACACGCACACTTAATAACACACACACACACACACACACACACACACACACACA